AGACATAATTGAAAAAACGGGGCAACGTATATTCATACGGCAAAAAGTCTATTAACTGGGAGTTGACTTCTAATCTTCAAACTACCATCACCTCACTCTATGCCATATTCGACTATTTTCACAGTACTCTTCTTACCTTTTTTCTACCTTTGTGTTTGTCTCTTACATCTTTGAAACACTCTTCTGTCCCCCCCCCCGGCTCGATTTTTTTCAATTTGATGTTCATTCCCCTCTGTGAAGTCTGAAGTCAACTAAAGCGCTAATGATAACCATCAAGACGCCTGCCATTTGATATAAATAAATAAATAATTGAAAAAACTAAACTGAGAGTAAGATAATTTCCGATTTACTCAGCAAATGATTAGTCTCAGAATAGAACAGGGTCTCAACAAGAGCTTACCAGCAGCCTTAGCCAAGGCGTAACTTCCCGAAATGGGAAGACCAATATCCTCCTCGGGACTCTCCTCCAGATCCGCAACACGAAGGCCGTCAGCGAGGTCAGAAGCGAACTGTGTCGGTATGGAGTTGTGATTAAAACGACAGGCCTCAAGCGAGGATGAGTAGAGATGGAGGTTCCCACACTCCGTCCCAAAGATTAGACTTTCACCACTACACGAAAAAAAGCAATCTTCATCACGACTTCTTGAAAGTGGTGCCTTGGTGTAGGGGAGATAAGTTGTGCAAATCATTCTACATAAAGCTTTATGGTAAATGACATAATTGTCTAGAATGCCTTAGTAAGTCTCTTTCCGATTTTAAAAAGATAGCAAATACAAAAGACACAAACTGCAACAACACGCTCCAAATAGCGTAGACGACAACAAGTCGCTAAAATCATGAAGGCTGAGCTCTGGAACACTTGGGCAATATTGATTGAATTACACTCCTCATGAGACGATTGATCCTATATTTCCAAGATTCGAGTAAAAGAACCCTGACTTCACAACATACTTCGATTCGACTCCTCATGTCATCAACATTTGCTGGACAACTTATAGTTTCCCGTTTCAGATGATATCCCATGGATAAAACGGGGAACTTTTCTCCCCACTGCCATGAGAAATTTTCAAAACATACATAACTGCTGAACAACGTTTTTGTTCGTGAAAAATGAATACAAACCAGATGCCTTCCATCACAGCCAGAAGTTGGTTAAGACACGTTCCCTATGAGGGGGGGGGGTCTTTTATGCACAAGAGGTAGGCATAAAGAAATGGTCTCATTTTTCCCCTTTTATATGCAAAATAAGAGGTGAAATTACTTTGACGACACACGGAATGCATTGACTTGATCATAATTCTCCACCATAATGTTTCCGAGACTTTGTGGGTCGACATTAGGACCGTCAATTTCGAGGGTTTGAAAAGCTCCAGGCTGTGAGGCAACTACAAGTCGTTGAGTGGAACCGACAGTTGAGACGTAGCATGGATCAACAACAGTTGTCAAAGGAGCCTCAAGACGCACAAATCGCAAGTCGAACAGCTGCAAAGAGAAGCACAAGTCAATTAAAATAAGTTATCGTTTCTATCTATTGCAACGCTTCCCTTAGAGAACTACGGGTGTTGAATGATAACAGATTCGGGGCTGCCCTAAGCACCACAAGAAGGCCAATGCTAGGATCACGTCCTACGGAAGCAATGACATGCGGTGAACTATCTCAGTCTTACAGACAAGTTTTTTCCTTACAAAGAAGAGTCAGATGCGTTGAAATGTCCTTCTAGTCTTGATGCTCTAAAATACGTCTATCAAGTTATTAGATATCCACAAGAACTAAGGGATGTCTAAGAAAAATTTGCGGTTAAAGACACCATGGAAGATATTGGTTTGTAATGGCCAGAGCCTAGATCATCGACTCAGGGAAATTTAAGTGAAAAAGCGAAGTGTAACGCTCCCGATCGTATGGAGACGTTCGCGGAGAAAAGGCAATGCTCTTGCCCCATCCACGGGGTCACTGTTAGCTAGGTGTGGCAATCATGGTGCACTTTTAACCGCCCAGTTTACATGCGCTTTAAGATTTATAGAAGTGAGGGGTGACTGAAGCGTCACTTATCCGAATGCTAATCACAGTTTTAACACTAAATTCAGTACAAGTCACTTCAAATGACCTGTATAAAAGCATATATTCTTATGCCAAGAGAAGTGAGATAATATAAAAGAATAAATCAAATTTGAAATAGCTTAATACCTTATTGGATTAGTGTAGATTATTTTTACTTGTACACATCTAGGGGGATTTGAATAGACAGCATATAAACAAAGAAGTTTCAAAGACGTATTCTATATCCCAAAGTTAAAGGAGGATGGAAATACTTGTTAACTCGTGAGACCATCGGCAATACCGTCAGTGAAATTAGATAATAAGGATAATGGAACTCACATAGACAAGCCGATCGATTCGGAGTGAACCATTCGGCTGGCGTGACCAACCAGTGGTGACAAGGGAGGTGCCGTCGTTGAGGACTGCCATGTCGGAAATTTCTCCCGAATGTGCTTCAAAAGTGCGGAAAACACCAACACGAGATCGAGGATCTATCAACTTCACCTAAAGGGAAAATAGAAAATAAAAGCAGCCAAAAAACAATTCTATCGTAGTGTCCTTTATCGCCCCTAAGACAATCGTCAATAATATAGGCTCCCGTTAATCAATTTGAAACAACTCGAGTGGTCTCTATTGCTTCTCAAAATGCCTCCGCTAGTTCCATTTCCCACCTTATAAAAGAGAGAAACGAATAGATCCAAATGGAATAGCCAATCGTGAAGTTACTGAACATAAACACAGTAAGACATTCAGAGATCTAAACAAGTTAATTGAGCTTTGAAAAATCTTCATATTACAAAGTGAAGTATAATTTTTATGGGAGAGTGTGTATGTGCAGAAAAGCCCACGCTTCCGGGTAACCAGAACCGCTATCAATCGATAACATCTAATCTTCACGCAGGTATCAGCAAGTCTACTAGACCCAATGGTCCTTCTTTTCGACGTCCAGCGGATTCTTCCGATTTCTTTCAAAAGCTACAACGATATTTACCCAACTCCAGCCGACTAACTCCTACTGACACGCTTCCAGTAAGCTCTTCACAATTTGAACTCCCTCCTATCGACTCCTGTCTACAGCACCTAACTTCTGCTTTGCAGTCCCCCAGTTTCTCTCTCCCATTTACCTATCACTTCGAAAGCATGCAACTTCTTAATCAGTGTAACTCAAAATTTGATCACCTTAGTCTTATCTGGCTACAATTGGTGATCTTCTAGTGCCATCTCACAGCAAAATGTAACTAAATAAAAGGATTGAATGGACTTACTTGGCCACAAATATTTCCAACACAGAGGCCATAGGTGAATGGCTTAATTGTAACAGCTCCAAACTCGCCCACATCGTATGTTCGAATAGTAGCACCAAATGCCGATCCAGGATTTGCATCCAGTTCAAAGACTTGCTCCTGCATACCGCCACAAAAAAATCGATTGAAATCAGAGTTCCCCAGTGGAGCAGGTGAGTCATGTGCCGCTGCTAAGCACACCATTGATGTCATACCCGGTGCGCTGTAGAGTAAACATAGGAAATAAAATAGGTACCCCCCCCCCCCCCCCCCCCTCCCCTCAAGGCTGCGCTAAAAAACTCACGTAGCGAAGCCCCAACCACGTCCAAATTTTGAGTATACATAGATGGCGTTCGAAGCGAGGATATAGACATGGTGTTCAGAGTACCTTGAAGAAGGGAAAATGGACTTCAACTCACAGACTTGTTCTTCTTGACCAGGAACCTTCATGGGAGTGACTTTATTAGCTGTATATAACTCAAGAGTGCTGCCATAGAAGCTAGAAAATTGACCCTGAATGCAGAATTACTGGGGATAATATCCAATAGTAAAAATTACATTATCAGAAATACACCACACTAGCTCTTCCAGGGGGTCAAACGCAACATCGACAACTCGATTTACGGCGAATGGGGCATTAGCTGATTGAGTAGCCATTAGCCAATGACCTCCGGTATTATAGAGCTGTCCCTCCTGCTGCACTACATTTGGATTCTCCATTGGGATTCTGCAATACACACCAAAGGCTCAAGCGTTTGCGACCAAACAAAATAGCGGAGTGGAAATCAAACAGCGGATGAAAGAAGTGGGCAGCTTCTTGCGCGTATTTTATGTATTTTTATCAGAAAATTTTCACAGAGAAGAAAAGAGAGGATTGTCTATTATACAAATTGCATGTATTTCATTAAAAATCAAGGAATGCATTTCCTTTTCCAGTAGCTGCTGAGCATATGTTCTGTGGAGTGGCTTGATTCGACCGACTGGAGTCCTCAGAAAGACAGGGGGGTAGAGCAAGGTGCTACAACATTAAAAAAAGATGAAAGAAATTAAGCAACCTAATAAAAACCTAGATAAGCTCTAACTTTCATTCGCGTTTAATACCATAGTTACCCTTACTCTCAAAATGCCTCAAAAGTTCTTTTTGAACCATATTTACTTTAATTTTATTGTTCTCTATTCTCAAAATCCGACTGCAAAGCAATAAACAGTTTGTTTTTTTTTCATTTATCACATAAGTTGACTGGATAGAAGACATTTTTCAATGCCCAGCTGAGATTCAGCTAATAGTAATTTAGATAGAGAGGTAAACTGATGTAAGTCAGATGAGAAACTAGCATTTTAACAGAGAATCAACCAGCTTGGTGGGACACCCGCTTTCCATCGCCGTATGCTTGTGGTCCCCACTCCACTCTTGTCCTCACGTTTTGGGCCAGTCAAGCTCCTGCTCAGAGGGAGTACAGTCAGGTGGACCTTGTTCTCAGTGCTTCCTACGTTATCCTGTTTAAGGAGGCTTTAGTTTACTGCAGGGGGGTGTGGGATAGACTTACCTCCACATGGTGCACCTTGGGCAACGTATACTCATACGGCAAAAAAGTCTATTAACTGGCAGTTGGCTTCTGACTTCAAACTACCATAACCCCACCGTATGTCATATTCGACCACTCCCACAGTACTCACCTAAACTTTTTCCTACCTTTTCTAACTTCGACTTTGAAACTCTTCTGTTCCTCCCC